TAATAAAGTATACGCACTATCGAACTTATATTATGAATTTGAAATTATGATTATGACTACGGCTACGGTAACGATCTTTGCAGCGGTTTTCCAGTAGAAATAGCAATCACGATAGCGGCGGAGATAGCCAAATTATAGGACCGGTGAGGGCCCTTAAGACACTCATGTCGTGAACTATAAACTCAAAAGCACTTCGTGACTGCAATTGTGCTCTTCATGATATACGACGGATAGTTAAATTATGTTGGGTTCCTGGACCTAGTAACATTGAAGAGAATGACATAGTCGATGAGCGTGCGTGAGGTTCGCAGTCATCCAATCTACGAATTTGGGATCTGTATAACCTCCTTTTAGCTATTTATTGACAAAATACTTATGAGCTACAGCGAGGTAGTCGGTGGTAACAGATTGTCAACAGAACGAGGATATAGGTTTTAACAAACCATCTGGCCAGAATTCTCTCGCCGTAGAACTACTTCGCAAGATTATATCTCTCTTTTTCAAATGGGATATTAACGGAGTGGATTAATGTCCTCTATGTGAGAACGTGGAAGAGCTGGAAACAATTGAGCGTAGACTCTGTAGATGTCCATCGCTAAGTAGCAGAAGACACAGACAGTTTGGCAGATATGAAGTAGATAATATACCCTCACTGAGTGAACGGCTGCAAGTGACAGCCGTACATCCTTTAACCTAACCCAAAGTGATTCTTCATTGAAAACTTGATGAAAGGCAAATAATTCAAATCTAAATGGCCGAGTTTGTCATATAAAAAGCTACCTATTGAGTGACAGTGTATAACAAAATTCAAAATTGAACGGCCCCTGCAGCACAAGAAAACCTATATAAGCATTTGAAATCACTCTAACTGGTATACATTGAAAAATTCGAAAACACCGAACAATTGTTTTTAAACTCTCTTACATTTTGATATGCTCATTAGCTGATCGATGCCAATAATTGGGATAATGTTATGCGGGTTCACATTTGAGATAAGACGTCCCTAAAGAATAATTTCGTTTGGAAATTCTCATCCAGTCGTTTTGTAATACAGTCTGGTTTGAAATTGGAAATCATTTCAGTACACCAATCATTTTTTGATGTTGTAGCTCACAACAATATAATTATTAATGAAGACAAATTTTGTAACAAGAACGTGAAACAGCAACTTATTGCGAGTCGGGAAACCCGTTCACCTCATCGCGGACAGACATTGTTTATGCGTACATCAGGTTGACAGCATATCTGTATCTGCCTCCTTCTAGCAGTGACTGCAGAATTTATTGACTGTTGTGTGTTGTTTCTTTTTCGTATTTAACGCATATCACAAAAAAGAACAAAAAAGCTCCGCCTTAAAAAATCTTCAATACATGTTTGTTGTGGTTCGTGAGACAATTTTCTCTTGGCGACTTTAGTATTACGGGTTCCATGTATAAACAATAGTATTCATTCCGTATTGCGGAACAATACTATTGGAAACGGGTTTTCTGATCTGGCTCCGCCTGGAACAAAATTAGAATTAGAGACAATTCATTGATTGCAATGATGTTTGAAGGCAATAAGAGCAACACTGCATTTCCGACAAAACCCTATATGACCAATCCAAAACCATTACAATCTACATACAAGTATTTACTATTTTTCCAATTGATGGGTGCTATACCGGGTTAGGTTTCGATACTGGCTGGCTGGTCAGTAGCAAAGAAAACAAAAACACAAAATCTCCAACACCAAATTTGGTATAAAAAAGCAACACAAAACCCGTGACCCCACCAAAAATTTGACATGACAAATAATCATAAAAACAATTTAGGAAAAGCCACTCACGCTCAATGCACTACGCGCTGAACATTGGTGGCAATGGTGGAATAGGGCACAGGTGGTAGCCTACTTTTTATCCATAAGCAGTATGATGAGGATGGGAAGTGAGGGTAAGAGTTGCGGAGCCAAATGGGTACATTGTGTTTCCCATTACTAAATTCAGGAGTTTGGCCAGTGTTGTTATTGCCACAAGGATTTTTGTGCATTCACTGATTGCGGGCTGGCCACAAACCAACTCATACTTGTGCCTACATACACACACACTGGCCCTACTCAATGTTTGGTGATTTGCTACCCCAGAGACTAGACATATAATATACACCACAAATACACAATATTTAAGCAAACGGTTCGCACACACACACACACACATACACACAATCATAGCGTCGCTTATAGCAATGGACAATAACCAAGCGACAGACTCCATGATCCATTTTTTAATAAAAATAAGTGGCAGGGAGCGTTGTTGGCCCATAAAGCAGCAGCGTCTAGTGCGAACGGTTTGATCTGAATTTCCGAACATCAGTTAGACAGTCATGCCAATAGTGATGTCAACACCATCTTGCAACGGCGGCAGTACCGACGGGACTTTTATTGAAAAAAAAATATATATATATATATATATAGTTGTATTTAATTCGGTATTGTTTTAGAATAATTATATAATAATTATATCCAAAAAACAAAATGCTTTCCTTATTGTTTGTCGTTTAACGAAAAAAGGAGAAATAATAAAATATACTATCAATTAATTATTACTAATTAAGTTATAAACTATAAAATAGGCTTTCATCCTAGAAATAGGTTATTGAAACCTTAAAGTTAGGCTTTGTATTCGCAATTTGTTTCTAAAATATTCTCAAAACGTGCCGCATTTGTAAATGATTAAAAATAGGCGAATAAGGAGTAATATGAATTTTCACAAAAATTCGAGTAGAAATATTTATTTGTGGTATTCGTTTCTTAATACTAATAGATATGAAGGTTGTTTTAAAAAATCGTAATTTCAGTGGAGCAAGAAATAAATGGTACTAAAATTTAATACAATTGGTGTTTAGTGAATGAAGTTAAAACTTTGAATTGGTCTGGGAATCGCTTTTGGTACATAAACTGAGATAAACAGGTGGCTATGGAAATTCGAACTAAAATTTGATTATAACTACACTACATTTATAATGACCTCCAAACTTTATTTGGGTGGAAGCTGTGTCTACGTTAATGTAATAAATGCGTAAAAACAGGTTGAGGCGAACCATTTTTTTACGTTATCTATCGATTTGTGACTAAGCCACTCATTTCGCGGTCTTTGTGTCAAAGTAAAAAAATGAGGACTACGTCTCTTAAATAATGCTGACATTTTGAAGCTAGATTTCAATGCGAGGTCACGAATTTATGAAAATCGATTATATGATTATTGTAGTCGCGAATCTGAGTTATTTGATATATATTTCAGCTTCAGAGTAATACTCATCCAAAGGTGAAAAATTTGTGCGAACAAATTTCTAAAAAAACTATTTTTCGGGCAAAATTTGTAGATCTGTCAATCGAATGATATGTGTACCCGCGATCACTAAGGTTTTTCACCTTTCGGATGAAATAAAATCATTTTCGTGAGAATCCATCTACTAGAACGGCGGGAATTGACCATCCAAACACACAAAATTTGGCATATGGACTTTTCGGAAATTATTCGCGTTTTAGGAGTTTTTGGGTACTTTAATGCAACGTGTAGTACATCTTAGCCGTCAAACGAAATTTCGCAAAATATACATGGATTATCTTCCAATCCATGTATATTTTGCGAAATTTCTGTACTTCCTGGAAACCGCATGCGCTTCAAATGATTTTGAGTATTACGTCATTTAGACGCAATGTAAAATGTATATTTCATACTATAGTTTTATTTTAATATTTATTCCTATTTATATAACCCCAATATTTATCGGAAGAGTCTTACTATAATCCGCAATATGTTTACTTCTACTCTAGAAGTTTTTATTTTTATATATGTCCATTTGCCAACATTTTTTTCTGAAATTTCTTGTTTAAAATTAAAAAATTAATATGATGACATTATTTCTTCGAACCAAAAACAAACAATTTTCCTCAATATCTTGTTTTGTTGTCGTTGTAATTTACAAACCGCTACACTGACTTGTGTCATCTGATTTATTGCGGTGTTTAGACTATGTAGATATTTTTAAATGAATTTTGAGTTGTATGTATGTGCATATCTCCTGAATATAATGCCATAATCCCCTATATTTTTATTATTTTTCTCATATTTCGCGAAAATGTGCAACCTTTTCGCCATTATTATGATATCTGCATATTCATATTTTACGAAGATCAATATAATGAACGGCGTAATTTTAAGATTTTTTTATTCCCAAAATTAAAACCTCGATAACTTTTGCGCGCATCAACCGAAAATTTGATCGCAAACGGATTCGGAGTTAGGATTTTTTCTCTATATGTGTTCCAAAAATCATTGATGTACTACGAAAAAAGCCGATTTTTTAAAAATGAAATATTAAAAACATTGGCAATATTGCCCATATATTCTTCAAATTTAAACAATAAAAAATGTGCAGGTAATGTTCTGTTTAGGGACACAAAGCCACAAACAAAAATTCGTAACACTTAACAATGTTTGGAACAAATCAAACCCCAACCTTCAAAATTCTCAATATAAGGAAAAATGGACTTAAACATCAAAATAAGCAACTCTTTTTAGTGTTGATCTGTAGTTACGTGTAACCATTTTCATCATAATTTGTATAGGAAATCAGTAGCAAAGTCTTAAATTCCAACATAGTTGAATTAGCAAAAGTGGACATCTAACAATGGCACCCCTTCATACTATTTGCATATATATTTATTACTGTCTTACGGGCATTCAATGTTTCCATTTGATGATGATGGTCTGGCAACAATCGTAATATTCTAATGACAATGCTGATTGCATCCTATTGACAACATCCCATCAGTATTCATTAGTTATAGTTCATTAGTATATATATATATATATATACATATATATATATATATATATGTAATATGGCATACGACACATTTAATAAAACTCATTTCAAACGATTTCATTATTTATATCTCCATTACCACATCCAATTATTATATTCTTAAATTTTGATCACTGACTCTTTTTATTCTAGGAAGCTGCTCCCCCTTCCGCTACTACAGATGCCACAAATGCTTCTGAAAACAACACAGAAGGCGATCCATATGCCGGCATCATGAAAGACGCGGATAAGTTAAAGTTAATGCTTCTGGCGTGGAATTATCAAAATTCGAATGCGGCTAGAAACGGTGCTGAAGGTCCCGACTTAAGTATTGTCGGTGGTCTGTGGGCTCAATATCAAAGTGCACTGGCCCAAAATGCGGCTGCTTCGAGTAATAAGATGGATTCATCGTTGTCTCCCGTGCCCAGAGATGGGAATCCATCCCCCATGGAAGCACAGGACGAAACAAATTCCTCTGGGCAAAAAGAAGAAGATGAAGGTTCAGAAGATGATTCGGACGACAAAATAGATGAAAAGCTAGCACATTCACACGATCCGGAGCGTTTGAAAGCTTTCAATGTAAGTGACCTTAATCGAAAACGAAGTGAGCCAAAAACTGATCGCAAGTTTACCCTCTATTTTCCCATAGATGTTTGTGCGTCTGTTTGTTGACGAAAATTTGGACCGAATTGTGCCGATTTCTAAACAACCGAAAGAAAAAATTCAAGCAATCATCGATTCCTGTGCCAGACAGTTCCCCGAATTCAGCGATCGTTCACGTAAACGCATTCGCACATATTTGAAGTCATGCAGGCGGAACAAAAAGACCAGAGACGGCTGGGAAAACACGGTAAGTGTGAACAACACTGGTATATGGTGAACAACCCATAAATTAATTCTTCATTACAGACTCGACCTACACCGGCCCATTTAACATCTGTGCAAGCAGAGCAAATTCTAGCCATCGCTTGTGAAAATGAATCTCTAAATGCCAAACGCATGCGTATAGGTTTGGAGCCTATTACGCATGCTATACCGGCTCCTGGATCGGCTGTTGCCGCTGCTGCAGCAGCCGCTGCAGCTGCCGCGGCTGCTGTTGCCGCCACCACAAGTTCCGCCGTTTCTGTTGGAGGAGGAAGTACATCGTCCAATGTTACGTCAGCTTCCGCTAATGATGGTTCCAACGCCGCCAACTCCGCCGCCCTACCGTTTGCGACTTGCACTGGCTTCGCCCGTTCCACACCAAATTCAGATGCAGCCGAGCCGTTATCTCTAACACCCGCAGCCGCTGTATCTGCCGCTGCAGCAGCAGTCGTAGCTTCTTCTAGCGCAGGAAGTGGTGGCATGAGTTCTGCTCGCAGCTCTCCATTAGCTTTAAGTTCGAATGCCAGTGTTACCGGTATGGACATAAAGCCACTGGCCACTTCCTTAGCTAATGGCAACACAGCACCAAATAATGCCTCGGCGGGATTAACAGGTCTAACGGCTACAAGTCCTCTTTATAGACCCACAGACTTCACATCTCCTACATCGGCTTCTCCATTTGCGGCGGCTGCAGCTGCAGCTGTTGCCGGTCGAACGCAAACATATCCAACATATTTCCCCGGTGTCACTTCATTAGGAAATGGTGAGTGTTATGTTTATGTATGTAGTGGGGTTTATAAAGACCTATTGCTCCGTATTGAGAACATAGAGGAACAATTGATTATTACAAACCTCTGTTTCCGCTATACTATACTAGTTAAGAAATAAATCCTCAATAACAGTGGAAGACATAGTGAAATATGAAATTCTATCACACCAAACGAATGCGATACATAAATATATTCGATGAATAACATAACAAATGCGTTAAGTAATGGAAAAGGCGTTGTCACTCAATACGCTTATTAATGACGTACGAAACTATTATGGTCAGTAATTATTTTTTTTTATTTTGGATCATTTTTGTGGAAGCTAGTGAGATTTGAAACTCAAATATTTATATTTTAAAATGTGCTACAGACCTTTAGAGGTTAGGCTATTAGATACATATATTTAGATTTGTATTGTTTCCCTCGAATCTAATTTTTTATTCATTTTTTCAGTTACACCCACAGACTTGTCGATGAAACCCTCCTGCTCCTCTGCCATCACACCCATTACGTCTAGCACACCAGTGAATGCCAACAACCAAGGTAACAACAACAATGCCAACAACATCAACAACTTGGCCGCACTCAATCAGCTGAATGTGAACACCAATGTAAACAACGGCAATGCAACAAATACAAATAGCGTCTTGGCTTCAGCCACCCACCAATTGCAGCAGCTCCAACAAGTACAGCAGCAGCAACAACAACAGCAGCAACAACAACAACAGCAAGAACAGCAACAGGCAGGGCTAAATATTAACAACACTATCGATGCTAATACGGTTCGACCGCCATTGCTACCCCACAAACTGAGTCCCAACGAAATAACCGCCGCCCGGCAGGTGATCTCCGCTTACAGAGAAAGTGCCGCATTTCTATTGCGCACAGCTGACCAGGTCGAGCAACTGCTGGTGCAGCAACAGTAAGTGTGGGTTCTATCCAACTGGATGGAGCAAATTTGGGCATTGCACATGAAATGATGGAATGGTATATGTCCCGAGCAAAGCAACCGCCCCCAGCCAGTAGAACGATCTTAATGTACTTCTATTCAAACGATTGCATTCTTCCGTTGCAAGTAAATATAGTTTCGTAAGAACCCTGTCACAGTTGGCAGAGTGGAGTGCAGGCGACAGGATGGTTCCTATTACCACATAAATGCAACAGAAACAAATACAAAAAATAGCCAAATATGAAACGAAAATATATTCCCCTCCCCCTATCTCTCTCAATTAACTACAAGACAAGAAATAGTCAATATTAAAGATGAACAAATACTAAGCCTATAGAAAATCCCCATCCTCCAGATCCTCTTTGTTAGTCAAACTCAATCCGAATTCATTTACCAATCAACGCCAATATGAAAGCAAATATCTGCTACAATATAAAATATTCAGAAAATAAATAAAACTCAAAACAATCTTAAATATACATACATATAGAAAAATCCATAAATCATACAAACAATAAAATATAGTATCAACAACAATAGACTCGATATAACCGATCCTTATGCTTTCCATCCACAACATCCGAAGCATTATTCTTATGTTTTCCAAAAATTCCCCATCAAGATGTCAAGCTACTGCTGTAAATGTCATTCATTCGAGCAGAAACTAAAACAAAAATACAAAAATTTGGGGAAGGACCTACGATACAGGGTGATTTTAGTATTATCATCGCTGACACACCCCTTTCCCCTTCACATAGCCAAGTGCATAATTGTTTTAAATGGTCTTGTTTTCATTACAAATGCTATTATGTTTTTTATTTTATTTTCCATTATAATATTTAATAAATTTTAGTTTAAGATAAATAAACAAATTTGTTACAAACGAACTTTTACGAATAATGAATACACAAATAAGGCAAACAGGCAATTTTGTAAAACGTTTTTTGTCCATTTGCCCAAAAACCAAACATGCTAGAGTTTAAGATATAGTATCTACCTACTAATAAAAAATAGCAACCACATACTTATATATTCACTCATCCAAATATGTAATCAAAATAATATTGAAAATATGCCGAAAAAGTTATTAATTTTTTTAAGTCCTATAATGTACATTTGAATTTACAACACACACACACACAAACACATGCAAAACATTTTCAAACATAATTTCGATTTTAACTGTGAACACAACTATTGGGCCACAAAACGGCTTAAGTAACAGTCGATATTTGTCAAATATTTAAATAGCATTAAACAATTAAAGTACGAATCTCCTAAGGTACATAGAAAACGATTTAATAAATAATATTGAATTTATGAATTAAATGTAAACAAATACAGCTTTATTTCAATTGGCGTTTAATCCCAAAAATAGTAAGGTAAGTGTGAATCTTAAATTTTGAATAATTCCAATTGTATCATGATTTGTTCCTACAATCGAATTCACCAAGCGTATATTAACATTAACATAAATATAAGAAATAAATAATAGATTATTTTCAATCCCAAATTAGATTGACTAAATATACTTTAGCAGAACAACAAGTGACAACACCGTTAAGTTTGACCGGGACGAACATTTCATATTTGAAACAATGGATCTATTTTGAACATTTTCTGCGAAAACGAGTAGTTCAAATTCAAATACATTTAAGTCGCATTATAATGACGAAATTTGTATTTAATTGTGAAATGTAGTTTACAGCCTTATGGTCGAAAGACTGGGCAATGTGAAATAATGGAAGGATGGCATGACAAAAATCCATTTCCACATATATTAATATATGACTGAACCAGAAGAGAAGGAGCAAAAGAACAGGCATTCTGGCCCCTGGCCTATGGAAGGCCTTCGATACCGTCGAAGGAAGCCTTAGAGGCAAAGTAATAATTTAAAAATATGAATAACTGTTTTCGCGTTCCATACAATCGATTAAAAATAAGATACCTACACTGAATTGTGAATAAACACGTCAAGTGTTCATAATTCTTTGGGCAATGTCTCATTTTGTTCATAGATTATGTGGCTTGTCGTGGAAGTTATAAAACGTATATATACTTTCTTCCCTTTTGCTTTGTATGATTTAAAAAAATAATATATATTTTTTCACAAATACATAACTTCAATGTTGGTTTGGCCTCGCCTTTTTAAATAACTTAACTAATAGGGAAAAATTTATAACCCTAATGGTCATATCTCGAAGAGAGTACATAAAAAACGCTCTCTGTGCATTGTCGACAGCGCTAATGCAAAATCACAATTATGAAATATCACCCAGCATAGTTGACCATATGATCCATTACCGAAGTGTTGCTAGACACATTTGAATCCACTTTCCTTCATATCAATATTCATGCTTCAACAGATCGAGGACACGACAGAATAATATGTGAATTGAATCATGACCATTCAATTTATATAACAATGTCGTTATTGTGAAATGTTTGTTGTTGTACCTCATTCATTCGCCTTGGAATCAATAAGCTTAAATAAAATAACTTTATGTATTAAAATATTAAAATTATGTATTAAATTTGTTGCAGAGAAATTTGGGTAGACCTGATTCTACAACAAAGACTATGTGATGAGTGTATGAACAGCCATATATTTGAAAGCAATTTCAAGGAAATGTATTATATTCTTACCTTGAACATTTTTATCCCTGCTACACTTGTGATCCATCTCTCTCTCTGTTAATCCGAGCTATTCCATAACATTCAAATGTACACTAACGACACAAGATCGAACATGTTCAGCGGATTTGTCTTACTTAGTTGCACTTTTTTATTAACATATTAACTGCGACAAACGGACACATTTATGATTTTGGTAACTCTTTCGGGAAACGATCCCAAATTCGATGTATCAAAAATTCAAGTGGCGCAAACTGATTTTGTTGTTATCCGTTAAAAAGAGTGTTGATAATATCGATGTCAAATCCGGCGTTTCAACACATTTTTGAATGGATATATCTGACTACTTTTGGCAGTGCTAATAATGAATACCATATATTTATATATGACCGAAATTCGACTGCTAAATTCTTTGTTTTAAATGCTTTAAACGGAACTAATTTACATAAAACGAACGTTTTCTTGTTGGACACCGGCACTTATAGGGACATAAAATTCTACTGAGAATGGGACATAGAATTCGATTATTGACATATAACGATATGAAAATCGATTAATAATACAATTCGATTTGTGAACCAATCTAAAGCGGTGTACACACAAATGGAACAAGTGATTGGCAAATTCCAAAAAAATGGAACAGGTGATTGGCAAATTAAAAAAAATTGAGCATGACCTTCCAGCCAGACACTAAACATTAATTTTTCCCGTAACTTACATCACCTTATTATTGTATAATTTTCCTACTCATGACCCAATAATAAGGTCGTCCCTTAAGGCCAGATGATTTCATCCGAGCTGTCAAAATACTTTCGATTTTGACTTAATATTCGCTTCATACAATATCTGTTTAATGAACCTTGTTCCATCTGTTAACTGTGGAACGTTTTTAAATTTGATAGGTTAAATGGAATGGCGTGTGCAACCCTGAACAACAATTCGGTTCTCATGCATTGTCTCTCTCACATTATTCGTAAATATCTTGTTAACCTACTTTGAGGTCTTCTTTATCGGCCATTTTGTATTCTCGCTCATTCGTTAGCAAGTGGAACATTTTTCAATTTTGTTGCGAACAACCCTGTGAAACCACTCTTTATTTGGTGCCATTTTAAATTACAAATTCAACGACGACGCGCCAACTCTGCCCTCACAAAATAATAAAAAGAAAAAAGAAATTAAACAATGGGAGGAAGACAAACTAAAATGGAAAACATTGATTTTACCACTCCAGCTAAACCAGTCTCGGAAGATATAAATATGATTGATCCGAGATCGCCAAACTTCTGTAGGACGCCTATCGAAGTAAGTTTTTTTTAATGCAAACGCCACTTTTTTCAATGTTTGGTATTTCAGCTTCCATCAGAGCCAGCAGAGAGTGCTGTCAGTGGTAGAATGGACAATTTACGTAAGCGCTTCTTGAAAGGATTTACATACAGTATAAACGATCCCAGATCTCCCAGCCTTAATCGAACACCACTGGTACTAGAAGATTCCAATGAAAGGTCATTGAATCTAGATGATACATTTGCAGATTTACTAGTGGGGCCAAGTGTTCCCAACTATGAGATTGCTGATTCAAATGTCTTCGACAATGTAAATATGACTGAGGAAAAACAAACGATTTTAAAATTACCAACAACTCCCGTGGCAGTACAACAACAATTCGATCCCCGTTCGCCTTCTATAGGAGTGGACCGAACACCGATTATATTCAGTGATGATAATGAAACAAATGAAGATGTTGTACTTGAGAACATTCTATCGACACTGACGCTTAACATGGATGAAAGCGGTAGTGTAGTGTCTCTAAAAACTACCGAAGTGACTAAAACTGAAGACAGATATGAGGTTGTGCTAAGACCTACCAATAAACAACTGGATCGTGTTAGGATTGGTAAGAGAGCCATAGCAAAAGGTCAACAGAAAAGGCAGAAACAGAGACTTCGTCAAAAAATCTACGAAGATTGTGAAAATCAGCCATCGACTCCGAAACTAAAGGTTTCCCAGGGCAGCGCAAACGTTTTCAAAACGGGCCAGAGGACGCCTTTGAGTTGTGTTCGAAATAGTTCTCAATTACGGTCTCGCTCCGTAGATTCAGCTGGGAAAACAAATAAACATCCCATGGCTATTATGAGCTATGACGATGCCCTAATTCCAAATGAACGTTTTAAAATCTCCAATGTTATGTAACAACACATAAACGGCCCTTTTTATAGATAACTATATGTTTGTATGCCTACATAATCGTTTATAGCTACTAACTATATTTAATAGTCAAATCAGCTACATGGCTGTTCATTTAACTCCAAATGGGAATAACAAGCGTCCTACATATAGGCACAATTGAGTTTGTTGTATTCCCAAAGATTATTGATCTGGAACACTGCAGTATGACAGATTATACAATTTATATTAAATTAAGTAACATAAGTAATGGATTTATATACATTCACGAATTTCAATAAATATACTTACTATTATTATTTTATAAAACATATAATCAGCTAGTTTTTTATTGATATACAGTCCATATCGTTGATAATGACATCGGTTCGTTTGAGCTCATTTTGCGATTCTTTAAACAAACGAGTTTTCGCACACACATCAGGGATGAAAAAAAAGTGTGAAAAGGTACTAAAATAATATGAAATTAAACATTTTGTTTAGTATTTCATATTCTTTTCAAATGCTCTATAACTTAATTGGCTCTTGGCAGAATATTTATTTCATAAGCCGAGCTTAAAAAAAGATTTTAAGGCGCATCTGTAGAATTAAAGAATATCGCACAAATATGACATGATATTTGTCATTTTTAAAAATGCAAACTTATCAAATTCACAAGATCTCAAATAAGAAATAGGGTTTCACGATGTTTTTAATACGTTTGTTCTCGCGCTACATTTTAACAATACCTCCGTTTTATTATCATGAACATATTTGGGATGTTTTAAAGCCGCGGCGACTATACTATTATTTTAAGATTAGGACAAAGAATGACATATTACTGGAGAATATATTGCAAGTAAATGTGAGAAAATACTAACGAAAACATGCGGTGGTTTGGTGTCCTTGAATCGCTTATAGTATGTGGTTAACCCTAAGTAATGCTAAAAATAAATAATAAAAAACTAAATAATTTTAGTTGATAACAGTTTCTGTGTTGGTAAAGATTTTAACAATAGGTCTTTTGCAGTGGTTCTTGCAGAAATTGGATCTAAATATTTTTGCAACTTATTCCGTCATACGTAATTCATTTAACTCATTTGATATGTTGGCTTTTGGCACATTTATTGTAATTTGTTAAATTTGTATAGAGGCAAAAAATTTATTTCGCTCCCTGTACATTCTTCTGATTCATGGAAAACATCCCATGCATCTCCTATATAATAATTAAGTTTTTAAATTGATATATTACATTAGAGAATTAAAAAAAACGAGGGAAAACTTTTGAGTCCTATATGCGTTTTCGAAGGGATGTGGTTGTAATCAAGCCCTTAGGGACTACTTATTGCAAACATATCTCAAAACAATCCGCCAAACCATCTTTTCTAGGCTTAAGCCTAAGCTTTTTATACAGAGGTTCAACACGTCGTCTTATAGAGGTTCTATACAATACCTAGAGATTTTTAATAGAAGACCAGCAGGTTTTCCAAAATATGACTATGAGTTCTTCTTCAAAGCTTTTAATACCGAAGACCAAGATGTCTTAGTTGAGACCATGACACCTTCTTAGAGATGACCAAGATATATTTAATAGAATACAAAGAGGTCTTTGTTGAGAAAACCATGAGGTCTTCCTATAGAAAATCAAGAGGCCTTCTTATAAAAGACCAAGAAGCCCTCTTTTTCAAGACCTACAGAATATCATGAATGAATGAATGTCGAGAGTCCCTATAGAAAGCCAAGCCAACTATAAATTACAAAAAAGACATCATTTAGAAGACCAAGAGACCATGTTCTAGGACAAGAGGTCGTCGTATAGAAGATCAACAGGAATTCATATAGAATACGAAAATATTTTCTGATAGAAGAACAAAAAATTCTACATATTGTTTTGGCACATTAATGTAAATTCGTACCTTTTTGTGAACGAACTGTAGGCTTGTTACAAAATTTAAAGTGGTGCAACTTTAATTGCTCTCTATTTACCAATGAAAGAGAGAAAAAAAACTTTCATGATTTGTGATGTAAAGTACTCACTAACGTTATCACTTTGCGATAAATAAAAAATAAAATAAAATTGTAGTACGACGGTATTCAAAATTTATGCAAACAGTTCTGCTCTTGATTTGAAATTTCAAAAAGTGTCAGATAAAAGTGTTAAAAATGTATAGAAGAAAATTTTATTATAGTTAATAATGAGATTTCTTAATTATTTCTAGATATTTCTTAAAAATTCATTCTACAAAAGGTGGAGTGAGTGGATATTCAACTGAGACCCCATTTATTCTTTATCAGAATATATAAATTCTATGTCGATGTAGCCATGTCCGTCTGTTTGATTAAATAGCGATACAGCTCTCAATATTTTACACATTTCTACTCATCCTAGTTTTTTGGTATTGGAAATGGGACATATCTCTCTTTTTTAGGGTGGCCCCAAACAAAATTAACCCCAATATATGGTACACAGCCACCATATGAAGTACCCGAAATTTTGATGCACACCACAATGTGCAGGGTATAAAATGTTTGACCGGTCTGGCTTTTTTTCTTGTTCAGGGATGAAACCAAAAATACCGATATTTTTAAAAAATTCCGGAAAAAATAAAAATGCTAAAAAATATGCTAGAACAATTTTTTGGTGCTAAACGAGTTTAAAAAGTGCTAAATCTAACACGAAAAGTGCTAAATTGCAACACTGATTACAACGAACAATTTTGCCGGTCCCTTGAACTTGATCGTCGTTTGATACCTTTTCACAAATATACTTTTTTATTTTGTATATACTTCAGAGTGAAATAATTGCAATAAACCTGCTTATGTAATACTTAATGGCCCCTAATCTTCTAATAATTGATAATTTAATTGTGATTACAAAATTTTAATATAAATATTTAATATTAATCAAAATTGTATTAAATCAAATAACTAAAGAGTTATTTAAAATATTTACATAATACTTTATAAATATTTCTATCAACATTTTTGTAGGGGTTTGTATTCAAAACCTACTATGTCACGTCATCTTCACGCTCCCTTCGCTTCCACGCTTTATTGCCAACTAGTCGTAGTAGTAAAACACATAAAGAGTTTTTTTTATACATTTATCTTTTACATGTCTTTGGGTTTCTTATTAGGCATACATATATATATACTCATTTTGTGTACAGTAAAATTATTTAATAATAACTATTATATTTATAATGCAACAATATATATTTATACGTAAGATGGAGTAACGAGAGCGAATAATGTTATAACGAGATGAACAAAAGACTGTTGTTTAGGTTAAATAAAATATACATACATAAATCGATTTTTAAGCAACAGTATTTTGATTTGCTTGTTATTTGTTGCGCAGTATTTAACTTACATCTAACTATGTTGGTTATGTGTGTCCGGATGGATTGATAAAAAGTGGTTCCTGGCTCGTTAACGGCGGTTGTAAGAGATATGTGGTAAAAAAATAAAACAATATTATGATGTATGAATCGAAACCAAAGAATTAACACGCGAATAATGTATGTATGATGAATAATTTCACTAACTACCTATAAACCTAATCTGTTTGCAATGTGCTAATGATAACATATTCTATGACCTACTCCAATCGCTGCCAATTATCCAAAATACATTCAAATATAAAATGAACGCAAATGATCTTAAACCGACGATTATATTTGAATGTATTTCGAAATGTATAACAATAAATTAATGTTAGCAACAGTTATATAATTTGATACATTAAGCTTCGAACTAATGGGTACCCATGTACCGTTGTATGATATCTAGAGCGACATTGATTTGTATAAGTATAACAGGTGACAAATTACATATATGAGTACGTAAGACTATTATCGATTGGAATCAATTATTGCCCTAGTTTGGCAGGACTCAGCAGAATCTCAGGTTCAAATTTACCCAATGGTGTAGGTAAAGTCGAGGACACAGAAAACGAAGTGGAACCTACTAGGCTGTTGGGCGAAAGCGTCGACGAACTTCCTGAATATGTGGAAGATAACATGGTAGATGCAGGAAATTTTAGAACCGGATGGCTTTGAGGAGGTTCACTGTTCTTTTCATCAGTACTAGATAACGTTTGGCCCATAAAGGTTTCATCAATCACCTGACCTGGCATTATTTGTTGACTAATCGCACCGGATTGATCAGTCGTCTTTGAAAATGTTGGTGCTGTTGATGGCTGAACTGGTAGTGGGCTCGTCGTTATTGATTTAGTCAAAGAAATGCTTGGAGCTGATGATGGCAAGGCATATGTGGATGTCGATGCTGTCAGCATTGAGAGTGGCATTGCAAGAGGCCCCCGTACAAGGCTCTCTGTCCGCTCACTGTTACCACGAGACGATGCAGCCGCAGCTAATGCTGCAGCATAAGTACTTGCTGTGTTGGTTGTATTGTACGCTTCAGTTTTTTGTTTTATGCTATTAATAACATTGGAGCTGTGTATTGTAGGTATGTCTGTGGATTCAGGCGGCGACAGATGCGTGGAAACTGAGGACGGACATGTCCTCGATGTAGCTGCGGACGTTGTGGTAGGGTGCAGGGGTGGACACATTTCCTTCTCCAAATTGGGATTTCTTACAAATATTAACGATGTTTCCATTTGTAGATCTTTCGCGTCATCCTTTGAAGATAGGGGCTGCCCATTGTGTAGTAATAAAGAAGCTGCTGAGTTTTGCTGGTGAACTGAAATACGTTGACGTGACAATTTATTGCTGTTGAAACCGCTAACCGGAGGAACCGGAGAAGAAATATTTTTGTCCCCAAGATTGGTGGGAGGAGCATTTTGAACGGCAGTACTCTCATTACGTTCGATTTCCTCTTTTGTTGCACTTTTATTTTGTGAACTTGACCTACTCGCCCTGCTTGTATTAGCAATATCGGTTTTTTCTAAAAAACATAAACACATGAAAAACATATTTATCACAAAAAAATAAACATATGCTGATGTATTTGCCAAACATTTGTAAGTATGTACGAGGTGCAAGGTTTATTAATAAGGTAATTAATAAGAGCGAATTGCGAGACACAATTTGACAGTTGTGTTGATCAGTATTTGCAAATTCTTACCGAGAAAATTTATCTAGTAGATATAGAACATTATGTGTCTAAGAAGGCAAACGGGAACCACCTCTGTTATATTTTCTTAACAATAATATGTTTTTTTTTCACTCCAAGGGACACGGTAAGCTTATACCCTTATATAATTAAGCTAAAGGTGTAAGTAAGTATGGTTTTAATTCGAAATGCCACTGAGCATTCGATGTTAAGTAATATATATTAACATATAACTCTTTTTGGAATAGTATTAAACCATAAATGCAAAATGATTTCGAAATTTGGAAGAAATATATAGAAGATTTGCCTTCTTAGACATTTTCACACATAATGTTCTACATCGATTTCGATTTCATTCCGTTTGAAGTATATGTATACTTCTTCTTTTCAATTAATTAATAAAATGCTTACCGGCTGTAACATCTGGCTCTTTTATTATGGGAACTATACGGTTTGTCATAGGCTTCTGCTCGTTTTGCATAAATAGCGAAGTGGTTGCAATTTGACGTAATGCCTCCATACCTTCATTTAACATTTTACTATTGGACCTCTTATGACCAACGCGAGACTGGCGGAGAGAAAAAAAAATATATATTAACATATTACATATACACAAGTGAAGTAACCTAAATGGTTAAGCCAAAATACCTGTTGACCAGGAGCTCGTGTGATGGACACGCGTTTTATTTCACCTCGCAACAGAGATGTGGTGTAATCGGCATCGATTTTATTGCCATTTTTCTTTCGGTCATTCTTTTTATTTGCTATGCAATGAGAGGGACAAATGCAGAACAGAATTCTCAGCAAGCAGCATATAAATCCGAGGCCTATAAAAAACAATTTCATACACTTTGTAAAACACACAGGCATGATTCGAATCGACTTTACCGATAAGTGATGGTCCGATAAGACGCAGCTCAACGGTTTTAAATCCCTTCTCACCGGTTCCAACAAATGCTATAACAAGACCCAGGGCTATCGTACCCAGCCCAACATATAGGAAAGCATTTGCAAATGTGCTTGGACCCCTTAATACGCCCAAAAAATCCTCATCGTCCGACGAACCGCCTAAAGAGGCGTCTTGTATCTGTATTCGGTAGAAAGCACCATTGCATCAGATCACTGTTCCGCCGTACGTTTATATCACACTTCGGTTCTCACTTACCCGATTTCTTTTTACCCACCGACGGTGGCATGTCGCTTGTTGCTGTGCCTCCTGTACACTGCAACGACGTCCGCGTTCCAACCAAGCAGCTCTTCCCTGAGCACACTAGTTTCGCAGCAAGGCGGCACAGAGTAAACAAAAAACAAAAGACATTAGTTTCCATACCAAACCAAGTGGATATCCATAAAAACGTGTCTGCATGTTAACAATCATTACGCACAAACAATAAACCAAAAAAACGAGTACACATATTTATGTAAGTATGTTTCATATGCCCAAACATCGTAAGCAAAATTGTATTCAATATTTCAGAATAATAATTAAACGCAAAAAAGATAAAAACATATACATATAAATGCCAAATACATAATAATACATGCAAACATATATACAATACTAATGTCATTGATGTCCATATAAATATGTATATAGACCTTTCCTTTCCAGCTAAGTAAGTCCTTTCGAGCACATACTTACGTAAGGATGTTAATTCTAATTGAATATACATATGTATGTGCACTTCTAATCCTAAAAAAATAAAATAAGGCCGCAAATGATTATATAGAGAAGGGACGGAATGTCAATCGTAATATTGTCCATACTATGGCGGAAGGAAAAAAGACGCAAAAGACCGTTAAAGGCGTTAACTAAATGGAAAACATATATCATCAACAACTGCATTTGAATGGAATACAATATATTTCTCCTTAATAATTGAAATATTTTTCACCGTTTTATTATCTCATCTTCTAATAATGTTCTTTTTCGACACATTTTTCTTAGAAAAAAAATCCGATATTTTGTAATTTTACAATAACAAATGTGTTGCAATCAAATTTTGATCGTCTGCTAGCTTAGTGACATGAAAGAAAACAAATTTTCGTAACGAATTCATTTTGTGTTACATTTCAAGTGGTTCGGTTTATTGAAAGCGAAAATATTTGATTAATCTAATACATACAAATTTGCAGAAAATTCTTTGGAGTTGTAAACGTTTTTTATATATTATGGAAGAAAATCGAAGCTATATTGTATGAGACTTTGAATTTACACCCGCTATTTTTTGTGAAAGATCAATCAAATCAAAATGATCATCGAAAACATTTTACATACAATTGTTGTTTTATTTATATTCTGTATTTTTATTTATTTATTTTTTATTTTTTTGTGACAATTTGTATTAACTAAGACACTCCAAGACGACACTCCTTTATCACTTAAACATGATCGCTTTCGTAACTTCGACAGGTTTAACTTATTAGTTGAAAATATCGAGGATTTGCATCGCCTGATGGTATAATTATCAACTAATTATATTACAAAAACAACATTATTGTTAGAGAACATCATTGGTCAATGGCTGAAATTTAATATTAGGTTTAGTCATAGAATTCTTCTGGAAAATATATGAACAAACTGTTGAATTATCGCGGTAAAATGGCACAATTTTAAATTCAACTCTTATTTTTTCTGGTACGTTTTGGGATCAATCTAAAATATGTTCATTGAATATACGATTTGAAGTGAAGACCCTTATATATTCTGACAATCTATTTTACACAAAAAACGTGAAAAACAGGCTGATTGTTACTTACGACTTATATAAATAAAGCATGGTAAAATCTATAAAACTGTTCCGGATTCATATTTTCAGATTTCATATTTCGAATTTGTAAGATCTCTGCTTTGACAATTATCTTAAAATGCCAAGATGCCAACAGAAATATAAAGGCTTCGGTCGCATGTAAAAAATTATTGATTGCGCCGGAAAAGCCCTACTGCTTATTATTATTTTAAACTCTATTCAACTAAAATCTATAGCTTACCACTTACGGGACTACTTATCATATCACTGATTAGTCGGAAACATTGTTTTGTGTATATATTTGCATGTTACTCATATAAAATGCAACACATGCCAACTATTTGTTTTTTTATTGTTTTAATTTATTATTGAATATATGCTTATATATGTATAGAAATATAACGACATTTATGATGACAGACAATTAAATATACACGAAAATTACTCGATTAATATATAGAGTTGAAAGAAGTTATATTGTATGTACATAAGTTGTGTGATCTTGGCCGATTCGTATGCCTTATGCAGGAACGCCCACGTTGCTATCAGTTGGTGGGTTGGCCGACCTGCTGTGAAATATGCGCATGCGCGTATCTCATCCAATAATAAAATATGGTATGCAAGCAAAGCATCTAGTGAGCTTATCTTATCACACGAACGCTGTCAATGCCACGATAAAACCAATGAAAATAAACCATATAAATATAGAAAAATGGATCTGATTATCATGCCAGTCGACTGCAGACTCATGCGGCAAGCAACGTTTAGCTATATAGTATATATAGTACATAGAGTTTTGTATGTATTTTATGTAATAGGTAGATGTACGTATGTTTATGCAGTTTTGGCCTCAACGTGTCATTCATATAATCGTGCACATTGTAAGGTTTAGACAAAATATGTTACTGTGCTCATGTGAAGGTATTCGCATGTGTGTGTGTGTATGTTTGTGGCTCTGATATCAGTATGATATATGTATGTGGTGAGTGTTTGTAATGTATCCTTAAATGGTTTCAAACAATTTGACTGTTCAAATGTGTTATTGCCAAATGAAAATATAATATTTAACATGGCGTCCTTTGTAGAATGTCCCTTTATAGGAAAGTGTGCTCCAACTTCAATTGGAACATGTTTTTGAACTTGTAACAAATGTATATATATTAACTGGAATCGATTCATTAGATACTCTCGTCCCTTACTTAAGTACAATTTATTTATATTGTTTTTGTGGTAAAATTCTTACAAATGATTTAAAAAAACGGAACTAAGTTAAAAATTTCGAATTAACTTTATCACTTTATTCATTACATTCATAACAAATTAATGTAAAATATTCTTGTCGATCTCCCATATGGGAGGCATTTAGAAACCCACTTAATCCACTTGAAGTGTATATGACTTAAATGTTTATCATTAAATGCTTCACTGATACAATTTTTAAATCGGTTGGAGAGTAATTCGGCAATTTGCGTTTTATTTTTATTTTTTTTTTGTAAGAAGTGTTGCTACCCAATGTTCCGTACTTTGAAAGTCAGCATACACATTTCAAATGTGAAAGTATCTAACGTAACGTAAAGGTCCTCTATGGGCTAATTTGCTGTAACTAAACGCTGTCATTTCTTGTATTTTGATGATATTTTGTGCAACGTTTTATATATTTTCTTGTAGCATAATCCTATATATAAATTATGTCATCAGGTAAAGGTAGAGCGAAATAAAATAGTTCTCAGTTTAATGCCTTCATTTCATTTCAAATTCACGAAAACAATGCAATGTCTAGGGTATTAAACTCCCAATTTCGTCCAGAAATACAGCATTTGTATCTGCAGCATAATAGAGTTATACAATACATCCCTTTTTTATACATCATTTCGGCATTCTAAATATCAATTTAATGCTGCAAAAAGCCGTCTATGTATCTTTCAACGTGTTTGCCACTTAGTGTGAAACACTCTGATAACGACTGCAACCTGACTACTGACTGAAATAAAAAAGTGGCAAGCCTCCGTTACATATGTATGCATGTTCATACTGTGACTGATGATTCCACTTTTGAGCTTTAAGTATCCACTTTTATTTCGAAAATCTTTTGATATGATGATTAGAAAGAAGGATGCCTGCATTACTCAAAGCACAAGTGCCGTGCGAAATCTAGGCTGGCATTATGACAACGATAAAATCAATTCGATGACGTTTTTCAAGTACAATCGAGGTGGTTTCTTTTCCTTTCGGTGTTTGCCTCTTAGCTGTTAATTTGATATCGAGGTTGTAAAATCATTTGATATTCAGAGGTTTTATAGCAACGAATATTGTATGCAATCAAATTGTATTTAATAGCAATTATCCAGCAATGGTGTGCTATTCAGTCGAAAAGAATGCATCAGGCATAACTCATTGACAAATTTCTTTTCATAGAAATGTATCACTCGAAATCCAGTCAATCGGTTCCTTTTCAAAGTGTAGTGCCGTACTACATATTGCGATTGTGCCTTTCAAAACAGAAACAAAAACCTGTCTGTCTTCAAGTTATTATTAATAATAAACAATAATACCTTTAAATGTCTAGTTAATTATAAATCGAATGTAAATGTAATAATTGACGCTTTGAGAATTGGTTCGCACCTTTCGAGCGAATATATATCATACTATTTGTAGTCATCGGTATCGTATCGTATTATATACATGTATGTTGTATGTTTTATGTATGAATGTTACTATATAGGTATACATGTAGGCATATACAATTACAACAATAGCTCGACATCAAGAGGAAAGTTAGTTAATATTTTGCTATAATTTTTTTAAACTTTATTAATGTTATACCTAAGGCTCGGTGAAGGTGACCATTGTAATGCGGACTATTTGAATTCGAGAACCTAAATCTTATAAATGTGAATCAAGTTATGTTTACTACTTTTGAAATGTTCTTGTCCGTGTCAGTGGGTCAATGAGGAGATAAGAACATAATGATATGCGGTCAATGCACTTGCACCCAAATGTGGGCTTAGACGGAACATTTCCTCCAGGACATAACAATAATGCGTGCTTAGAAAAAATACGAAAAAAAGATGAGAAAAATCCAGAGGACGAAAACAAAATGCAAAATGTAGAAATGAATAAAAAACGGAGGAATAGTTATTCAACATTTGTATGTGTGCATGTGGGTGGTGTATTGGGTGGGGCACAGTCAGGAATGAGGGCAGTCAATGTTTGTTCAAATGACGAAGGTGATTTAGTAAAAATATTTGTACTTTAGTTATTATATAGTTTATTAAAAATGAAATATCATCCACTTGGGTATGCTGATCATGTCATTGGTCTGTGACTTAATTGTCAAAAAATAGAACAAATTACATGTCGGATCGATCTTCAATACTAACCAGAAATCTGTTTTCACAACGTGTGTTAGCTACATGTGTGTGGTTATGAGTGAGCGAGTGTTATGAGTAAATATGTATGTACGTGTGTATGAGTTATTAAAAGTAACAGCATTCCTCCTATTAATCCTAAGGACAATGTT